AATGTTTGGTATCAGAGTAGATAGTATGAACATAGGAATCAACACTGCAATGGTCACCAGGTTTCACATTTCAATGTGATTTCCAAACTAAATTTGGCTATGATTAGTGATGTTCTTATTAATTAGAGTTTGTTTTATTTTTTATTTTTTTTAGTTCACTGTAGAAAATCTGATTTGTCGATGGTTTAATTTCTACACAGTTTATTAGGTTTTATATGATTACTATTTTATAGTAATTTTGACATTCACTCTTATAAGCGTGCACGAATTTATGCCAGTAGGTTTTATACATGGGAAGATAGTGAATTTATCTTAGGATACTGTTATGGTAATTTACGCATGGACTCTCCCAGATAAAAATAGGAACAGGTACTGCCTTTTGGAGAGGAAAGTTTTCAGCTCTGACAGTTGGGCCAAAAATTTTTGCTGTAACACTCTTGTTTGTATATGTTTGTATTTCTGTTTCATATATTTGTTTAACTCAATTCCTCTCTTGTGTCTTTATTTCTGACCCTAACAAGGCCACAACAGATGCTAAGAAATTTGTCTGTAAATATGACAGGATCCTATTAAAAATAAGTAGACTCTCCCATCATATTTTAACATCAGCTCAGTTCCTAGAACACAACAGCTCATTTGATATAACTATAGTAGTGAAGTCTTGTGCAGAACTAATCACACTTTGTGGAAGAATTGAATACAGAGAACTTGCACACAACATGTCACAAGATCCCCAAACAACCCTCTTCAGAGTTGTCCTTCTTCTAGTTTGGTTGCCACCCAAGGATATAGAACTTAGTCTGTCCTGCTATTTAACCATAGCTGGAAGGAGAAGAAATGGCTTCATACTTTTCCTAAGGGTATTAACACATAAGTGAAAGTAATGAACTTAACTGGAATTTGAACTCAGCTCTTTGATTCCTCAATTCAAGCCACAATCCATTACTCCACAATATATATATACATACATATATATACACACACACACACACACACATACATATATATATATATATATATATATATATATATATATATATATTTTTTAACAGTGCATACAGTGAGTTAATGTGTGAAACTAGAAATGGTTTTCATGTTAACAAGTAAATGTCTCTAGTAAGTTGGCCATAAGAATTGATAGAAATATTGAGAGCTGTTGAAATATTAGCTGAGATACATTGCAAGATCAGCAGGTGGATAGATTCAGATGCATTGGTAGGAACAGTTAGAAAAAGAAAAATGAGATCAAAAGTTAAAGATTTCAATCTGAGTTAATATTGTTGATGACTTTACTGGAATAAAGACTGACTTCAGCTAAATTAGTTTAATTGTCTACGAGTTAGATAATGAGGATTCATTTTCTTGATGCCCAGATTGCATCAAAGCACATTGCCAATTCTTCAAGAATAAATTATCTCTAATCCATCTGAATCTAAAAAAGGAACCAAATTTCCTGCAGGTCAAATCGACATTCACTTATTCAGCATGTTGAAAAGACAGTTTATTCTTTGAGGTTTGCACTTTTTATTACCCTCTAATTCTCCTGAGAGAAAAAGCTGATTCTTTAAGAGAGAAGACAATGATGTTTTTTTTATGTATAATGTAGAACATAATAGAATTGATATCAATGTGTAAAAGCACAAAATACAATTTCTGAAATTGAGGAGTTATTTACATTATTTACACATGGACTATTGTCCCCATATTTGATGTTTTTATTACTAACTCCATCAGTTGATTGTTGGTAGTTCACATGTAAATAATGAAAATACAAGTAATAGGATACTTTATTATTGCTTTATAGATATGTCATTGACAGAGATTAGCATGACATACATGTTGTTGATGATAGTTCATATGCAGGTCAGCATGATGAGTTGGCAAGAGTTCATTTAAAGTCAATCAGAGAGGACAAGAGAAGGAAAGTGTCTCTGTTAAGGTCAGAAGAGTTTGAATTGTTTCCAACAGGATAAATTGATGTCTTTGAATTTTATCACCTTTCATATCAATGCAGAATAAATTCAGATGAGTTGTAACAATAACTGAACATTTTATTTATATATATATATATATATATATATATATATATATATATATATATATCCATCCAGGTATGATGAGAACATATACAGTACACTTACAACATTCATAACATTTAATTTAAAAGAGGGCTCAGTACATAGTAAAGTAATATTTGGTTGATCAGAGCCCTCAAGCCTTACATTTTTTTTCAAAATATGAAGATGTATTTTGCTTTTAAGACCAAATTAATCAATTACTCGCCAGTAATTTAGTCACTTGAGGAGACATAACATGTATCAAAACATGACTGCAATTGTGTAGTGATTCTTACGTGTTTCTGTTGTAATATCCTAATATATATATATATATATATATATATATATATTCAGCCACAGATGCTGTTTCACTGTATCACAGCTCTTCAATATGGCTAGACATTCACTTGCATCAAGCTGGGATTGAAACTCAACCGATCTGATATCAGTCAGAGATCCTACCATATATATATATATATATATATATATATATATATATACATACACACACACACACACACACACACATGTTCTCTGTTGAAATTGCTAGTCAAAACTCTTATGCTAATAGTTTCTTCTCCCACACCTCTTGCTTGTGGAATTTTACTCTTGCTTCTTGCTTTCCTCTGAGCTATGATCAAAGCTGGTGTAAGGGTTTAATGAACCCCACAAATCTATATGCATCTCCATCTATGACAGTTTGATACTTTAAGCAATCCTCATGCTTGAGTCATGAAACTGCCAGATGATCCAATGATCACTGTAGGCATAAAACCACTAGTTACCAGTTGATAATGACATTCACATTGTTGTGTGTGATATACAGGATATATATATATATATATATATATATATATATATATATATATATATACACACACACACACACATAGATTTCTTATAGAGAGAAAGAAATATATATGCAGGTTTATTATAGAAAGAAATATATATATATATATATATATATATATATATTTATTAGAGATAAAGATATATATATATATATATATGTTTATTAGAGAGAAAGATATATATATATATATATGTTTATTAGAGAGAAAGATATATATATATATATATGTTTATTAGAGAAAAGATATATATATATATATATGTTTATTAGAGAGAAAGATATATATATATATATGTTTATTAGAGAGAAAGATATATATATATATATATAAGTTTATTAGAGAAAAAAAATATATATATAAGTTTATTAGAGAAAAGAAATATATATATATATATATATATATATATATATATATATATATATATATGCAGGTTTATTAGAGAAAAAGAAATATATATATATATATGCAGGTTTATTATAGACAGAAAAATATATATGCTGGTTTCTTATAAAAATAACTGTTTATTATAGAATATATGTATAGGATCATTTCAGACAATACAGAAATATTACAAAATTTATCTTTACATTTTTTATTTACTTTAGAGTTTTCTGTGAAATGATTATCTGTATGTGACAGGATCAGTGAATTCCAGCTATGGCTCTCTTTGTTCACTTTGCACTTTGGATAATCAGAAATCCACATCTCCACACTGTTCCATCAATTGAAATTTGACAAGGGTCTCAGCATTGACATATCAAGATGGTTGGCCAAGAAATGATAATTGAAAGAGGTGTGACATAGAGGGTTTCTACACAAACCCTCTAGCTATGGAATCACTGGAAGTTATCAAGTCCGTCCTCATGGATAGGTCCCTGAAGATAGTTGTTAATGGCCAGTACTCTGAGGCCCATGTCAATGCAGGCATCTCTCAAGTCTCACTTCCCAGTCCAACCCTCTTTCTACTTTATATAAATGATCTACCTAAGAGTATACTCTGATTATTTGTGTATATCTATGCCTGATGATACAGGTACACCACCAAAATTCTAGATAACCAGGGTCTGGCATCTGATCTTAATTCTAACAGCTTGGAGTGGAGGAACTGACTGGTTAATTTCATTGCTTCAAAAAACCAAACGTGATATCACATGTAGATTCAGTATTTTCACCTATCACAATGTGCCTTCTCAAAGGAATCTCTGTAGCTTGAACTCAATCCAAACCTCAAGTTGAACTCTTACATATGATCTATCATTAAAGATACTTGCAAAAATTGTCAGTTCTGTGCCACTCCAGTACCAGATTCCTCTAACCATTGCAAGAGACAGATCAAGCCTAAAATGGAGTACTTTTGCCATATAGATGCAGGAGCTACCCAGCCTTCACTTTCCAGTCTTGATAGAGACTAAAAGGGGCTCTGTGTCTTTTTGAGGGATGAATTATTTTTCACTTTACAACTTCTTTCCTACAGAGGAAATGTTGCGAGTATCTTGCAGCTCTATTGCTGTTTCCATGAAAAGTGTTCTTAGTTTCAGCAGTTCTAAAATCTGCCATGTCAAGCACATTGAAGTAAATCACTCATCCCCCCCCTTTGTATTCCATTGATGAGATGTAAGTTCCACTCATAGATCTTTTTCCCCACAAACTGCTGTTTTGTAGAACCAACTCCCAAGAGGATGCTTTTTTGATCACTACAATCTTAACCTGTTCAGTTCTAGGGTTAGCTATTATCTTCCTCACATATCCTCATACACTATGTCTCAGTAAAATTTTACCTTGTGTAACTCTTGTGCCTTATACAGAGTGAAGATTATCATAAAAAGAAAAATGATACACACTACTACTTCCAGAATACCTTTAAAAATAGTATTATTCAGTATATGGTGCCCTAATGAACTGCAGACTGTGGACCAACCTAAGAAAGAATAAATAAATACCTTTGGTAGTCAGTGTTTTAAAAGGCTATTCTCTTCATTTCTCAGCTTTGCAATCTTTTGTTTATTTTCTACAATCTTCATTTATTTTTTTCAATCCTAATTTTGTTCACTATTCAATCCCATTTCTATAGTTCTGTATATTCTTTCAGTTTTCTTTTTCTCTGCTTTCTTATCTATTTTCTTATCTATTTTCTTATCTTTTAAACATTTTTATGCTTCTTTTGCTCATATTCAATTGTTTGTTCTTTCATTTTAATTTCTCATTCTCCTTTCTTTCTTCATTATTGCATTCTGCTTAGAAAATTGCTAATATAAATTTCTCATTGCTTTCTTTTGTTTTATTTTTTATCTTCGGAATGTCAAAAAGATATTAATTTTAATGCATCAAGAATTATTGTTTTTACTCTGTTTTTCCCATCTCATCTTTTTATAAAGCACTTTCATAAATTCATTCACCATAAAGAAAATACATTGTGAAATAAGCATATCTCTGAGTTGCTTTAACAAACAAAAAATAAAACTTAAACAAATCTAAACACAGATTTATAAATAGATTTATATTAATAAATTTAATGTGAATAAAAATTTCATTTGCTAGTATTCATTTAAAACAGATAAATTTTATGAATTCAGATACTTATTAATCTTTTGAATTTTAAAATTATAATGATAATATTATAATTCAAAATCTTCAGAAGCTTATATTAATTAGATTATAAATCACTGTGTCATGTGTGACAATTTTTCTCTCCAGAATCTATCTTGTATATTTATAAGTCTACCATTCATTCATGTTTAGAATATTGTCGTTAAATATGGTTTTGTGCCCCTGCTATTTACCTTGAGCTCTTTGAAAAGATCCAAAGAAGAATCAGCAATATTATTGATCCTGATTTGGCATCTCAGCTTCAGTCACCTTGCCACTACTGTAAGGTTGCCTCTCTGTGTTTTTTCTATAAATACTTTCATGATCATTGTTCAGATGAGCACTTCACAATGTTAGCTAGACTATTTTAATTTAAGTTCAGTACTAGATTGGTGTTGATGATCTCATCAGTATTCAGTTGAGCTGGCTAGATGTAGCCATAAGTTATGTATTAACATTTTCTTTTTCTCACACTTCACACTTGTGGAACTTCCTTCTGGCTCCATACTTTCCAGCCAACTTTAATCTGCAAAAATTTAAATGCAATGCCAACTGCTATCTACTGTCTTCTTGATTACTCTTTTCTTTTTCCACACATTATTAATGTTTCTGTTTCTAATTATTCCAATCCCTGTAATCCTATGTATTTTAATGGATTTAATGCCTTGCATGGATGTGATACCAATTTAAGAAAAAAATAGTTTGAATATATCAGACTAACGAAATAGAGACCTGATATAACAATATGAAATGCCAAGATTTAATTGTATTTTACTATTTCATAGAATAATCCCTCCAAGTTGATATTAAAATCTTAAAAACAATGAAAAGATAATGCATATAAAAAATAAAATTTTTCCATTCCTAAAAATAGATGGATAATAAAAATCAACATGCAAACAGAGCCATAGCTCAACCAACCAATCAGAAAGCTTTCACAATCAGGACATAAGTCCATGAACCAGTGAGCAGCCTTTTCAAGTGGATGCATATAAACAGCTTGAAAATCAACCAAAACCAGAGTTGATAAGTTTTGTCAATTCTCCAATGCTGGGGTCATCTTAACATACCCAGATACGATATACAACATCTGAGCAACTAACTTGTGACGTTACACAACTAAACTGTCATTCCTACATTTAAAACAAACATACCTTCCTTCATTAAATGGTCAAGTAGCAGCTACTAGATTTTCCCACATACATACATACATATTTATTACTTTTATATATTTATTTCCACCCAGACTCTCTTTATCTCTCTTAGGCACCATGATTTTTTACATGTGAACTCTTTAAACTTCAACTTTAACCTCATTCTTTTGTATTATTATACTTATTTTGTATTTTTCAACACTTTGTACATTTATTTTAATTGTTACACAAGGCCAAATCACACTCGAATCAAGTATACCTTTTATAGAGCAGGAACTGACATTGTCATAAAATAAACAGCTCATCCATAATTGATGATCTTCTCCTATCATCCATAGACTACATAAAACCTTATACATAGTGTCAGAAAGAATAAAAAATAGATGAGATTATTTGATATTTTGAAATAACACCTTCAGATAGATGAACTAAATCTTTTAGATTTCTTTATCTCCATCTTCTTTTATTTATTAAAATATATTTGCTTGCACTCAAGGCTCTTGTAATTGTTTATGATATAACAATTTCATAGAATATTGATTCTTCATGAGAATTTGTTAAACAATTTTGATATGAATGGAGGTAAGATATATGCTGGTCAGTGATTTCTTTTTCCAATGAAAATAGAAAAACTAAAAATATCACAGAGAAAAGAAAAGTAAATTATCTGATGAAATTTTTTTTCAATATCTGGAGTAAAATGAATTGATTTAATTTTATAGTTAAGAATTCCTATTTTAGAAAAGAGAACATTTTTATGCTAAAATCGTGGGAAATTAGCACAAATCAGGTCATTTAATAGAAAAATTTTGCATGTATATACAATGGTTGGTCAAAAAGTATCAGGACTGGTGCTATAAAAAGAAAACTATAACACATATCAATTCAATATTTAATCTCCTTTGAAATAGTCCCATTCTAAAACTACACACTTTATGCAGCATCATTTCCATTGATGGAACCATTTGCAGAACTCCGTTTTTGGGATAGCAAGTAGCTCCCTTGTCGCATCCTCTTGGATTTCCATATCTTAAAATCTTGTTCCTTTCAAATGGGATTTGATTTTTGGAAAGTAGAAAAAATTCAAGGCTTGTGATCTGGGGAATATAGTGGTTGTCAAACCCGGGGAATGTTGTCTTGGTCAAAAACTGCTACACTGAATGGGTAGGTGTATTGTCATAGTGATATTTAACAGTTCTCATTTACTGTTTGACCAAGTGGAGCATACACATGATGAACAATGCTCTTGTAGTTGAAGAAAACTATCAACAATATCTTCACATTGTTTTGATGCCTCCATGCTTTCTTCACTCTCAGAAAGGTTATGGGTCTTCCACTACAAAGACTAAGCCTTGTTTTCAGGGTCATAGCTATGTACATATGATTCATCACTTGTTAGGACCATTCTCAAAATGTTATCTTTCTCAATAAAGGAGATCCTGTACAGTTGAAATCGGATTTTTTTGTCAACTGAATGCAGTTTTGCCACAAACTTGGGAAGCACATATCTCATACCCAAATCAGCGAGAATGGACTGAACTGAACCATAACTAATTTTCGCATCCTCTAACAACTCACACATGGTGATTAGAGAGTCTTTCTGAACTTTTACATGCATATCTGTAATGTTTTCATCAGTTCTACTGTTTGAGGGCTTCTCAGGACATGCTTCACTGTCAACATTTTTTTTGGCCATCTTTCACTCGTGTCCAGCTCATACACTCCTCTGCCTACACTTTCTGCAACTTTGTATAGATTACTCTGCTCAAATTTCTCTGCCATGACCACTGATGGAAACTCTGTGCTGTGGTGAGATGACTACACTCTACACACTTTCCTTCCAAGCACTGCTATAACAACAGTAGTGAGCAATAGCGACATAGTTCAATGTCAATCTGTGCTAAGCTGCTTCACTCTGTATACTTTAGCTCCATTACCATAACAACAGTCCTGATAATTTTTGATCAGACCACATATTCTATTTATGCTGCGCTAGATTATGCTAGTACAGGGCTTGTAGTTAAGGTTATAAAGGGGCATTAAATAAAAAAATATGTGCATGGATATTACTACTTCCATTCAACAATAAGTGACAAGATTTACATAATATAAGGAGTGGAATGGAGGTAGTAAATCATAAATTATTTACTGATGATGTAATAGAGCTTATATAATAGGTAAATATTTAATATTTGTCAACTAAAACAAAAAAACAGAAAAATATGATTCTAACAAGATATTTGAGTCTATATAATATTACCCGAGTCTATATAATATTACCCGAGTCTATGTAATATTACCCGAGTCTATGTAATATTACCCGAGTCTATGTAATATTACCCGAGTCTATGTAATATTACCCGAGTCTATGTAATATTACCCGAGTCTATGTAATATTACCCGAGTCTATGTAATATTACCCGAGTCTATGTAATATTACCCAGTCTATGTAATATTACCTGAGTCTATGTATTACCCGTAATATTACCTGAGTCTATGTAATATTACCCAGTCTATGTAATATTACCGAGTCTATGTAATATTACCTGAGTCTATGTAATATTACCCGAGTCTATGTAATATTACCCAGTCTATGTAATATTACCCTAGTCTATGTAATATTACGAGTCTATGTAATATTACCCAGTCTATGTAATATTACAGTCTATGTAATATTACCAGTCTATGTAATATTACCTGAGTCTATGTAATATTACCCGAAGTCTATGTACCTAGTCTATGCATTTACCCAGTCTATGTAATATTACCTGAGTCTATGTAATATTACCTGAGTCTATGTAATATTACCCTAGTCTATGTAATATTACCCGAGTCTATGTACACTTTGAGTCTATGTATAATATTACCGAGTCTATGTAATATTACCCGAGTCTATGTAATTACCTGAGTCTATGTAATATTACCCGAGTCTATGTACATTACCAGCCCATGTAATATTACCCTAGTCTATGTAATATTACCTGAGTCTATGTAATATTACCGAGTCTATGTAATATTACCCGAGTCTATGTAATATTACCCGAAATCTATGTAATATTACGAGTCTATGTAATATACCCGAGTCTATGTAATATTACCCGAGTCTATGTAATATGCAGTCTATGTAATATTACCGAGTCTATGTAATATTACCTGAGTCTATGTAATATTATCCGAGTCTATGTAATATTACCCGAAGTCTATGTAATATTATCTTAGTCTATGTAATATTACGAGTCTATGTAATATTACCTGAGTCTATGTAATATTACCTGAGTCTATGTAATATTACCCTCCATGTCTATGTAATATTACCGAGTCTATGTAATATTACCCGAGTCTATGTAATATTACCCGAGTCTATGTAATATTACCCGAGTCTATGTAATATTACCCGAGTCTATGTAATATTACCCGAGTCTATGTAATATTACCCGAGTCTATGTAATATTACCCGAGTCTATGTAATATTACCCGAGTCTATGTAATGTCACATGAA